TCGGGGGCAAGAAGGGGTGAGTCAAAGTCCTGTCACAATTGTTTTTTTGTTTTGTTTTTGGGATTTCCTTGGAAATTCTAATTCTCAATCTTTTTGTGGGAAAGCAAGCAAGGAGGCTGAGAAAACAGTGAGAAATAAGACAGCCGTCAACTGATATAGATAACACTCAGCAATATCACGCTTCCTTTCTTTTTCTTGTAATCTATTCCTTTCTTGTTCTTTTAACATCGGAAGAACGGTTAAACGAAAAATACATGAAGAACTGAAGAAATAGAAAGGAAGAACGGTTATAAAACAACGAAAGGAAGACTTATTAAAAGACACATACTGGGCGACATGTTAAAAGAAACATACCATAAACATATTACAATAACAAGACAGGAAGAATTGTTAAAAGAACAAGAAAGGAAACCATATACAAACACATTAAACACTGTTAAAATAACAAGAACGGAATAATTGCTAAACGAAAAGAAAGTCAAACGAACACGAAAGGCATACCTACTAAAAGAAAAAGAACGGACAACCAAAAAGGACTTCAATGTGCTCGGGCCGCCGCGTTGAGATGTACTCGAAAAGCTGACACGAACCTTTCTTGGTTGAAGTCCAAGGATAATCCTGCAGAACATGAAACAATTTTCCTAATCTTTTGAACACAAGACATCATTTCGTTCAGCACTTTTCTAATCTCTAAAAGCTGTTTCATGTGTATTGCTTGCGCTTTTCAGACTGTGTATTCTCTTCACTTCCTGCACCGCCATTGCAAAAATTGAGACACCCAAAGCAAACCTGAGTTGGAAGATGTTGGACGGCTGGAAGACCGTTTTGGTTCGCGCTACAAACTCTCGGTGTCAGCTTTTGATCTTTTTTGGTCTTCCGGTCTGTTTCAAAGTCTGTGTATTTTTCTGTAAAAGAACAGAACCCGTGGTTTTTGGGCAACCCGTAGGGGACCGTAGGACTCTCGTGTGAGTCGGCACGTGACTCATCGGCCAAGAAGGCATCGTAGGGATCCGAAGTGTGCATCTCCGGAGCCTCAGCCGAGACGTTTTTCGTTTTTGAAAACAAATAAAAAAACAAACAAACGAATATATTTAAGTATTAAGTGTGTGTGTCTGTGTGTGTGTTCTTTTTTAAGGGGGGTAGGCCGATAGGTAGGTAGCTAGTAGAAGCAAACGGTAGCTAGTCGCTAGTAGCTATAAATAGGATGCTACTACCGACAGGACGCAGGATAGCGCTCGCGCTAATCATTTGGTTCCTAGATTTTTAGGAAACTTAAGCTAGTAGAAGCGAGTCTTAGGAGAGATGAGTAAAAGACAAAGGAAATGATAACAATAGGGTTAGAATTCAGAAGAGCATCGAGACAATAGAAAGGTATAAATAAGTAGCTTTAAATAAAGAGGATGTGGACACTGGAGGCCTGTCACTCTCTTCGTTTCCTTCAGCTTGGAACTTGATAGGATTGTTTTCCTCGAACCTGTCGCCAAGCGCGGTCACGCCATAGGCCGGCAGGTTCGGGCAGCCGTTCGGGTCCGAAAAAAGGGCTCGCGCCTCCTTCTTGCAGGTTCGGTTCACGGTGGCCATCCCAAAGTCAATGAGCTTGATCTGTTGCCCACCTCAAAATATGACCAAGCTATTAACAAGGGCATCGCTACTAGGAGCAAGGACGCTACTAGGGGCTCCTGGCCATACTATCAGTAACAAGAAGCTAC